GTAGAGACGGGGTTTCACCATGTTGACCAGGATGGTCTCGATCTCTTGACCTCGTGATCCACCTGCCTCGGCCTCCCAAAGTGCTGGGATTACAGGCTTGAGCCACTGCGCCCGGCCCAAGAATTGAAATTTTATAGAGTGTGTCCTCTGACCACGATGGAACTAAATTAGAAATAAATACCAAGAATATATCCAGAATAAAACAAAAATATTTTAATTTGAATTAATTTTTATTTTTTGTAGAGACAAGGTCTTGCTATGTTGCCCAGGCTGGTTTTGAACTCCTGACCTCAAATGATCCTCCTGCCTTGGCCTACCAAAGTGTTGGGATTATGGGTGTGAGCCACCACATGCAGCCAAAACCAACATATTTGGAAGTTAAACAACATGCTTTTAAATAGTCCATGAGATTACCTAAGAAATCAGAAAATATTTTGAAAAGGATGATGTAAAAAATACAACACACCAAAATTGTGAAAAGTAGATAAAGTAGTGTGTGTGGGTTTATAATTTTTTTATGTTTTTTTTTTTGAGACAGAGCTTTCCTCTGCCTCCCAGGATGGAGTACAGTGGTGTAATCTCAGCTCACTATAACCTCTCCCTCCTGGGTTCGAGCAATTCTCCTGCCTCAGCCTCCCGAGTAGCTGGGATTACAGGTGCGTGCCACCATGCCTGGCTAGTTTTTGTATTTTTAGTAGAGATGGGGTTTCACCATGTTTGCCAGGCTGGTCTTGAACTCTTGGCCTCAAGTGATCTGCCCACCTTCCAAAGTGCTTGGGATTACAGGTGTGAGCCATCACGCCCAGCATAAAGCAGTGTTTATAGGGAAATTTACAGCTTCACAAACTTACCTTAGAAATGGTAAGTAAGGTTCCATCTTAAGATGCTTAGAAAAACAAAAACAAAACAATATATACTGAAAATAAGTAGAAGGAAGTAAAAAACGTATGAGCAGAAACAACTCAATAGGCAACAAAACAGAAAAAATTAACAAAGTCGAGAATTGGTTCTTTGAAAAGATTAACAAAATTGTTAAACCCTAGTCTATGTACACTGAGTAAGAAATATTTTTTTAAAAAATGAAAGAGAAGACGTAATTTGCTAACAGTAGAAGTAAAAGGGGATTTCAGACTCTACAGACATCGAAAGGGTAGTAATGGAATATTATGAACAACTTCATGTTAATAAATTCAATAACTTAGAGACAAGAGCAAATTCCTCAAAAATATAACCTAAAATTCATATAAAACATAAACCTTACATATTTACTTAAAAACTTAAATCATCAAAACTTTTCAGAAAGAAATTGGCACGCCCAGATAGTTTCACTGATGAATTCTATCAAATAAAACTCAGAAAGAAACAACACTAATCTTACAGAAATGTCTTCTGAAAATAGAGAAGGAAGAACTCCCTAACTCATTTTATAGATTGATTGATTGATTGACTGAGACGGAGTCTTGCTCTGTTACCCAGTCTGGAGTGCAGTGGCATGATCTCGACTCACTGCAACTTCTGTCTCCCAGGTTCAAGCGATTCTTCTGCCTCAGCCTCCTTAGTAGCTAGGACTGCAGGTGTGTGCCACCATGCCTGGCTAATTTTTTGTATTTTTAGTAGAGACGGGGTTTCACCATGTTGGCCAGGCTGGTCTTGAACTCCTGACCTCAGGTGATCCACCTGCCTGGCTATATTCATACAAGGGTTAATACTCATCATAAGAAAGGATTAAACTACTGACATACAACAGAGCTAGGTCTCAAAACATTAAGTGAAACCTTAGAAGGAGTGTACATTTGTATAATTCCATTGTATGAAGTTCTAGAAAAAGCAAAATTAATCTATAGTGGAAAAATATGCAGTGCAAAGGTTGCCTCTTGGTGAGTGGGGGCAAAAACTGTGAAGGGACATGAAGGAACTTTAAATGAATCTTGAATTTTAGTTAATACTCATACTGGGCTGGGCGCAGTGTCTCACGCCTATAATCCCAGCACTTTGGGAGGCCGAGGTGGGTGGATCACGAGGTCAGGAGTTCGAGACCAGCCTAGCCAACATGGTAAAACCCCTTCTCTACTAAAGATACAAAATATTAAAAAAAAAAAAAAAGATACAATATATTAGCCCAGTGTGGTGGCACACTCCTGTAATCCCAGTTACTCGGGAGGCTGATGCAGGAGAATCGCTTGAACCCAAGAGGCTCACTGCAGAGGTTGCAGTGAGCCAAGATCGCGCCATTGAACTCCAGCCTGGGCGACAGGGTAAGGCTCCATCTAAAAAAAAAAAAAAAAAAAAAAAAAAAAAAAAAAAAAAAAAAAAAAAAAAATCATACTGATGTATTTGGGAGTGAAGTATACTTAAATTTGCAACTACTTTGACCATGTCAGGAAATAAGATTGATTAGAGAGACGAAGATATGCATAGTCATACAATCAGCAAATATAGCAAAATGTCAGTTGAGCTGAATATATGGATGTTATTTAAATAATTATTTCAACTGTTCTGAATGTTTAAAAATTTTCATAAGAAAATGTTGGGGGGAAAAACTGTGCTTTCAATTCCTCCATTTTTTCACATTGCTTGTACAAACTGTAACTGAATTTCTATGAAGTAGGCCAAAGGAGCAGGGGTGCTATTCTCAGTCATATTATCTTAAAAAATGATCTTAATAAAAGAAATAAACTAAAGCATTCCTTCTCATCAAAGATATAACTTAAATTGTATAGTGACTTTAGCTTCCCATTGTGTATGTAATGACTCTGGCTCGGATGGGGGAAGTTCTGCAGTTTCATGCCCTGTACCTCAGTTTAGATGCTTATTTTCAAGGTTAGTCACTTAAAGATGGGCACCTGCCCAGACTACAGCCTTAGCACAAGAAAATATATGCACCAAGCTTGGCATCTCAGAGTGAAATGCAAGGCTCATACGATGTCAACAAATCAAAACACACACCAAGAAAAACTTACGTTTTACTGTTAAGGAGGGACAGTCACCTAAGAGATTACAGATCTAATGCTCATACCTTCACAAACACTTTTGAGTTTCATTACCTTTATCAAGAGATGCTCCAGCCATATGGTAAAAACTCAATGCAGTGTCCACATCATTAATGTTCTTTAGGAAAGTAAAGAAGTTCTCCACCTCCTGAAATGTCAGACCCTGAAAGAGGAGGGACAGCAAGGTAAGGCAGGACCTGTAACAAAAAGCAGCACAATATGGACAAGCAGTGATTCAGAAATAGTCTGCAAATCAGAAATGTATGCTCATGTCTAGAACAGAAACTGAATAAATTAATCAAGGAATGTCAAATTCATAAATAGCAGCGGAACGAAACTCTTGACTTTTACCCCGAGAAAGGCAAACTGGCTAATTGCTTCCCTCTTACATGTAAAATCTGACAAAGCTGCTTACAGTGATGGCTGAATATCTTAATAAAAATATTTCTTTTTTTTTCTTTTGAGACAGTTTCACTTTTGTCACCTAGGATGGAGTGCAATGGGCTCACTGCAACCTCCGCCTCCCAGGTTCAAGTGATTCTCCTGCCTCAGACTCCCGAGTAGCTGGGATTACAGGTCTGCACCACCAGGGCCGGCTAATTTTTGTATTTTTAGTAGAAACAGGCTTTCACCATGTTGGCCAGGATGGTCTTGAACTCCTTACCACATGTGATCCACCCACCTCAGCCTCCCAAAGTGCTGGGATTACAGCTGTGAACCACTTCACCTGGCCTAGTGAAAATATTTCTAACTGTGAGCTCCAATTAGACACACTATCTATTATGACACTTCCTAATTGGGCTATTGCTACTTGATCTGTTACACATCTTAAGAAGTAAAATCAGAGTCAGGACTTCCAGTTTAATATTCTGCTCACAGGCCAGCTAAGCTTTCTGAGGCTTAAGCTAATTAAACAATCACCAAAGTCGGTGACATCCTGGGGAAGCGTGTCAGTATTTAGCAAATTCTAAGTAATGAGGAAGCTGTTCATTATCTCAATTTCTTTTTTTTTCTTTTTTTCAACCTTCAAAGCTACCGAAAATCAACGTATTATCTCAATTTAAAAGCTACTCACAAAGTAATTTGCCACCTAACTTTAATCTGATGAAATTCTGTGAATGAAGACATTTTTTTCAAAAGCTGTTCAAAGATTTGCTGATCTCTAATTCTACTTTCAATGATGGATCAAGAAAAAGTAGTTATAGAAACAGGGACTACTGGGAATTCCTTTATAGGGAGGAAGATTTATCCTATTTGCCTTTTCCCTGCTTCCCCCACATCATGCTGTGATGGAAATGAATGCAGTTACTAAAAAGGGAAAACACTGGGCAATGTCCTAGATGTCCCAGACACTGATGTTAATGCTTTAATGAAGCATCAGGTCCTTAATGGGCTGCAGATGTAGACTGGCTTCTACTTAGTGCTGCTCCTCTCACAATTTTCATTTCCTCAAACTACAGACCCCAGAACTCACATCAGGAACTCAGTAATAAGGAAATCTAAATACAATCTACAGTTCTTTCCTGGTAGTCTCCAAACTGGGTCAACTCTGTCTTTCTTATCTCATCAAACTGAAAGCTAAAAGACTGTATAAGGCTGGGTACAGTGACTCATGCCTGTAATCCCACCACTTTGGGAGGCCGAGGCAGGAGGATCACTTGAACTCTGTCATCAGACTGGGCAACATGGTAAAACCTCATCTCTAAAAAAATACAAAAAAAGTTAGCCGAGTGCGGTGGCGTGTGCCTGTAGTCCCAGCTATTTGGGAGGCTAAGGTGGGAAGATTGCTTGAGTCTGGTGGCAGAGGTTGCAGGGAGCTGGGATTGTGCCACAGCACTCCAGCCTGAGTGACAGTGCTAGATGCTGTCTCAAAAACAAAACACAGCAAAAAAGACTGTATGATTATGTCACATGATCTTTTATAATTTTTTTTCCTTAGAATCATAGAACTTAAAAAACTTTATTGTGAAATACAGTGACTATGTAGAAAGGTGCATAAATGTAAAACTCATCATCAAACTGTTGCAAAGTGAATACCTATAAAACTTTCATTCGGGTCAAGGAACAGACTGTCAGCATTCCAGAAGCTTCGTCCCTCCCCACAACATGTCCCATCCTAATCATAAGCTGCAGCTGCTGCGCAACCCCCACTGACAAAAACCACTATTCTGACTTTCAGGGAATTCATTTTCTTGCTTTTTTAAAAAAATAGCATGTTTATATGTAAACAGCATATTTACAAAACCAGTTGTTTAATTTTATCTGTTGTGGAACAGTATAAACAGAATCATGCAGTAGACATTCTGTTATCTATGGCCTCTCTAAGATTTGATCATGTTTTTGTGTATATCTGTAGTCCATTAATTTTATTGCTATCAAGTGTTTCATTGTGTGAATACCACAATTTATTTATTCTTATTCTATTTGGGCTACTTTTGGCAATTATGAATGGTGGTATGTCTGTACTTAGCATTTATTCAAACATTTATAGAGTACTTACTATGTACCAAGTGTCGTAATTTTGGTAGTGGACTGGAAGGCCTATATTATATGCTTTTTCCCTAATTTGGGGTCACTCTCTTGGCTTTGCCTTAGAGTATCCAGAGTTAGGTTTCATTATGGATGCCACAGTATGCTATTTAATGTAGGCACTGGCTAGAATCAACATTTAGAGGAGAATCCCAAAGGATTAGAAGTACAGGTTGTACAATATCATTGCTTATGGATAGATACTAATCTTCCTTTTCTCTCCATCAAAAGACACATAAAGGTGGAAGCAATCCAATAGTCTATCGATGGATGAATGGATAAACAAAATACAGCATATACACACAATGGAATATTGTTTATCCTTTAAAAGGAACATTCTGACACAATCTGCAGCATGATTGGCCTTGAAGACATTATGCCAAGTGAAATAAAGTAGCCACAAAAGGACAAAAGATAATGCTATATGACTGAACTTATATGAGGTACTGAGAGTAGTCAAAAATAGTGTTGTCAGGAGCTGGGGAGAAGGAGAATGAGGAGCTATTGTTAATGGTAAGGATTTCCGGTTTGGGAAGATGAACGGGTTCTGGAAATGGGTGGTGTTGATGGTGGTACAACAATGTAAAGTACTTAATGTCACTGAGCTATACACTTAAAAATGGTTAAACTGGTAAATTTTGTTATGTATATTTTACCACACACAACACACATATACACATAACATGCTAAAACTCTTTTATTTTTCTTATTAAGGTATAAAATCCTGTAGGGGTTGGAGAGTTAGGGGACTAAGTTATTGAAAGGGTATTTGAGGCTAAAAGGTTAACATAAAATTCCTAAAACAGTTAGAACGCGGTAGAGGAAATGTGTCCCACTGTGATGATAAACAACTTCTAATGTTTGTTAGTCTCATTAAACACTGTGAAACATCAAATATTACAGCTCAAGACCAGAGTGCTTATGCTGAGAATTATCTGAGGACAGAGAGAGAGCAATATAAACTGAATGGCTATTCATTTGATGATTTAGAAAAACAGTGGGCTGCAAATCACATTATATAACTATTAAATCCAAATATACAACACTATAATTTTATCACAAAGATAAAAAATTTATTGAGCACTTACTAACCACTTAGCATTATGCCAAGAACAGCGAGGGAAATAAAATTGCACTGGACACAGGCCTTAATTTTTACAGAGCTTAAAATTTAGACAGGTCTCCTTAAAGAAACGATGATGTCAGTCACAAAATTCCTTTTTTTTTTTTTTTTGGTAATTACTATAGTAAAAATCCAGAGGGCTATTAGAAAAAAGCTAGAGTGCCGGGCGCGGTGGCTCAAGCCTGTAATCCCAGCACTTTGGGAGGCCGAGGCGGGTGGATCACGAGGTCAAGAGATCGAGACCATCCTGGTCAACATGGTGAAACCCCGTCTCTACTAAAAATACAAAAAATTAGCTGGGCATGGTGGCGCATGCCTGTAGTCCCAGCTACTCAGGAGGCTGAGGCAGGAGAATTGCTTGAACCCAGGAGGCGGAGGTTGCGGTGAGCCGAGATCGCGCCATTGCACTCCAGCCTGGGTAACAAGAGCGAAACTCCGTCTCCCAAAAAAAAAAAAAAAAAAAAAAAAAAAAAAAAAAAAAAGAAAAAAGCTAGAGTAAGACTATAACATAAGCTTTGTGGCTGTGAAAATGGAAAGTGAAAGGATATGTTTATTGCAAATTAAGTTGTTTGGACAAGAAGGCTACAGCATATGCAGCAATCTATTGGCAGGTGACTTAAACTGCAGACATAATTGAGAAAAGGAACTGTCTCTTAGGCTTCGCAGTAAAGGGATATTCTTGACATGCTGTGAGGTGAAAATAGAGAAGTTACTCTGTGACTAATTATTCAACAAACTGGTAATCTATCTACCTTTGGAAAGATGGACTTATATAAAACTGGGCTTTAGGTGACTCTAAAAAGAAGATAAGATTAATAATAGTTTGTAGACAATAGAGATACTTCTTTAGGTTGTTTAAAAACAAATTTAACATTAGGAAGTTGTTAAGCAAGTAAATAGAATTGTCTTTCAAAACTAAAAGCAGGGACAGGCGCGGTGGCTCACACCTGTAATCCCAGCACTTTGGGAGACCGAGATGGGCGGATCACCTGAGGTCAGGAGTTCGAGACCAGCCTGGCCAACTGGGTGAAACCCTGTCTTTACTAAAAATACAAAGTTAGCCAGATGTGGTGGTGCACACCTGTAATCCCAGCTACTTGGGAGGCTGAGACAGGAGAATCGCTGAACTCAGGAGGTGAAGGTTGCAGTGAGCCAAGATCGCACCATTGTACTCCAGCTGAGCAAAACTCTGTCTCAAAAAGCAGTGGATAAAACTTTTAGAAGAAAATACAGGAGAGGCTGAGCACAGTGGCTCGCTCCTGTAATCCCAGTCCTTTGGGAGGCTGAGGTGAGCAAATCACTTGAGCCCAGAAGTTTGAGACCAGCCTGGCCAACACAGAGAAACCCTATCTCTACTAAAAGTACAAAAATTAGCCAGGCATGGTGGCACACGCTGGTAATCCCAGCTACTCAGGAGGCTGAGGAATGAGAATTGCGAATTGCGTGAACCCAGGAGGCAGGGGTTATAGTGAGCTGAGATCATGCCATTGAACTCCAGCCTGGGCAACAGC